CCCCCCCCTCCTCTCCACGCCACGTGCCTCGTTGCCTCTTTTCGCAAAGGATCTGGTCGATGCCGGGGGTTGTCATGACGAAAGAAAGCTCGGCCACATCGCCCTGCAGGCGTTGAGAGGGCTCGCCTTCCTGCACTCTTCCAACCTCATCCACCGGGACATAAAGCCGGCGAATGTTCTCTTGAACCACCGTGGAGAACTGAAGATCGCCGATTTCGGACTCGCACGTACCCTGGGCGTAGAAGGAGGAGAAGAAGGAGAAGGAGGAGAAGAAGGAGAAGGAGAAGTAAGAAGTTGTAGAGGTGCATCCGCTGTGTCTCCTATATCGTCGACCGGCGAAGATGGAGCGGGGGCGGTCGGCGGTCACAGTGGCAGCGGCAGCGGTGGCGAGGACGGTGGCCGGGGCGAGGAGAACGAGAATGGTCAGAGTGAAACCACCACGGCGCCGGTGACTCCGGTGGCGGACGATAGTGACGGCGATGGCAGTGGTGATGACGGCGGAGACGAAACTGAACGGTTCGATACCAGGCGGCTTTCCTCCGTGGAGGGAAGTGTTCCCAAATCGCTGTCAGGGGACCATCAGAGACAGCTCCCCGACGTAGTATCACTTTCAGACAAATCTGGAAACGACCGTTCTGCGGGGGTTGGCAAACGAGAGAAAGAGTCACAAGAAGAAGCCAAGGGTTCCAGCGGGACATCATCTTCGGCCGTGGCAGGCGGAACGAAAACGAGACAGCTCCTCCACAGAGCGCGTACCTTTGTGGGCACGATAACGTACATGTCGCCTGAGCGAATCAACGGCGACGAGTACTCGTATTCCGCTGACGTTTGGAGCCTGGGTATGATGATGCTCACTACGGCGCTAGGGCGACTCCCGTTCGAAACGAACAAGGGGTACTGGGGCGTGTTGCACTGCATTAGGTGGGTTCGGCGTCCGCTGGTGTAGAGGGCACTCGGAGCTCGCTCATGGGTGTGACCTGTTCCAACAAGTACGTGAGGTCATGCGGTGCGATCCGCACGGTTGACTAAGCTCGCCCATAGTTTGAAACAAACACGACGCTTTATTCGCAATGTCATTTGATACCGTCCAGAACCCCACCGGTCCCTGGTGAAGAGGAGGGAATATAAAGCCATACCAATACTGACGGAGGTTTCTCTTGCTTACCGAATCGGAACACTTCGAACAGGATAGCAGTGCTGCCAAGGCGAAAACATCGGATGTTATGACCTCTCCCCTCAGTTTTGTGTCACACAAGTTAGAAAAACTGGCGTGAAAACTCTTGCAGTTACTTCGTCGGCACCACGCCTTCCGTACGCAAGTTTGACCGCGTTGTTCATCCCCACCGGCCGGCACCGACGTCTGAATGATTGGCTGAGTTTTGAAGGGACGCTGACGCCCCGACCCTTCCGGCGGACGGGCCGTGGTCGTCGGAGTTTAGAGACTTCCTGCGCCTGTGCTTGGAGAAGAACCCGGAGCGGAGACCGACCTGCTGTGCGCTGATGGAGACTGCGTTTATTCGGCGGGCATCCGCGACTTGGGAGCCCGGTACAACAAGGTGTGCGCAGACTTGTATCGGTAAGAGAGGAGAATGTATGTGGCATCATTAATGGTGAATCACCTCTTACAAGAAGTCAACAGCCATCAGTCGGAAACGAGTTCTTTTGTCACACGCGCCTGTTTTTCGCCATGTGTGCCGTCCGGGTCGTTCGGAAAAAAACAACGTATCTTCCCGCCGAAGCAGGAGTGCTTGGGTGAATGAACTTTCCGAGAGGAAAACGCAAGAAACGAGGGTGGAGGAGCTGGAGAGCACGCTTGCGACAATCGCGGAGCACGTGTCGTCCCTCATCAAAGACGCCGAAGGCCGTGCGAGAAACGGCGGTTCGCCATATTCCAGCCCGAGGGGAGGTCTAGGCACAATTCCGACGACGAGGGCGAATACGACAACAACGTCGACAACAGCGACGGGCACAGCTGCTGCTGGGAGATCAACGATTTCGGCATCATCGGCGCCGGCTTCTTTTGCGGGGGGCGGGGCTCCTTCACTACCACCACCACCAATCACGATAACAACGCGCAAATATGGCCAGCACTGTGACGAACAACAACCTGCGTTTGATGACATAGAACGCCGTAGCAGCGGTCGAGACCGAAGAGAGATACCTGGACTGCAGACTACATCCAATCCCACATTGTTGGCAAGCTGTGCCGTTCCTGCTGCTGGGGAAGGGAATGCGTCCACGGTCGAGGTCCCGGCACGCACTAGAGTGCTGCGGCGGGTGGGCTCGGTCCGGTCGCTGCTTCTAGGGGTGAAAGAAGACGGCAAACGGCTCGCGAAGTTCTCACAGCAGCTAGGGCTGCCACACGGCACTGTCGTAGAGCAGGTTCAGGTGTGAATCATTTTCCACCAGGTTCACGTTCCGTACGGTACCATACATTGGAAGTGGCGAAAACTTGCACATGTCATGCCGTTGTTTATGATGTGCGGTGCACTTTCTCTTCCTTGTCTTACTTGCTCCACGACGAAGAGAATGCATGACAGGAGCCCATACGGTCTTGCCTTGTTTCACGCGGACGAGATGCGTGTGGCAGTCTCAGGTAGAAGTTGGGCGCTATGGCGTCTAACAACTTTTGCAACAAGGAAATATGTATTATTTCCCACACATCACGGCCACTGGTCTCGGTCTCTCTTGCTTGTGTTATTGGAAGATATAAATGTACGAAGTCCGTATTTGGGTTCTCGTTTGTGTTTTCGATTTCCCGCCAGTTGTTGCTAGCCTACTGCCGGGATATCGCGCCGTCCGTCTCCTAAAGTAGACGTCTGATACCCTCTCCGTCTCTCCCCTCCCCTTTCTTGTTTTTACCCGCCCCCTTCTCCTTTTCCTTGGTTGTGCCCCCATCGGATCTGTCCCTGTGCGTCATGTGGCGGAATGGTGATGCACCGAACACATGTTTGCGTGCCATGTGCGCACAACAACACGAGCAGAAACTCGTGAAAAAGATGGAAGCGGATCATGCAACAAGCAACAGACAGTAGGAGAGTGGACACCCAGCCCCTTGTGTTCGACCACCGTCGTGGCCGAAAGTCGTCCAGTGGATGATAGGGAGAGACCAGCGCTAGCGTCGCCGGTTACATGGGCGCGGTATAATAGATTGGTGTAGTTGGCGAGGGGAATGGGTGGGGTGGATGGAGGTTGGGCGAGAAAGGGGCTTCTTGTGCTAGAATATTGCCTTGATTTACTTACCGTCGCCAGCATTGTATGTGTTATTATTATCATCGACCGCGCTAACCGGCTGACCAACGAAAAAACGTCAGTCTTCGTGCGGTTGAAAGCAAAAAACACTCCTAAATGCAATTAACTGGGACCTCATGGGGCGGCATTGTGTGTGTATGCGTGAGAGTGTGAGTGTGACAAGAGACCCAGCGAGGGGGGGGGGGTTACGGAAGAGAGTGACACCGTCACATGAAGGTCGAGTGGACAGTTCGTAGACGAAAACCAAGTGATGTATTCGTGGTGATGACTACACTGCCACGTACTCAACGCCTCAAAGCATGACCTGCGCGCCGCGCGACGTGACGTTCATCATGGCCGCATTCTCTAACCGGCGCATAGATACCATCATTCAGACCCCGCAGGACTTTGCCACAACAAAACGTAGACCTTCTGTGGACTAAACCCACAAATGGCGTAAACAAACCTGTTTCACACCGACAAGAACAAACACCTCCCGGAATACTCTGTCCGGCGCCTTCGCAGCGGGGAAACCCGGACCCCTGCCATGTTTCTCCCGGTTTGGTATTTGTGTGCACACTCTCAACGCGATTGCTACGTACACTAAATACGGTGGGCGATAGTGGACCGTGTCGCCGGTGTTAACAGAGAATGAATGCCCCTTTGTCAATGTGGTAGCTAACGAAGAGGATATACATGACGAAGACAACAAAATCCCGGACCGGTTCATCCTCCCTCGAGCGATTGAACCTCCAAAAGGCAAAGAAAGTTGGTTCATAAGGTGCCGCCGTCGAAAGCCGCCTAATGACACCAGGATAACCATCTAGTAGTGCAAAAGAAGGTGGGATTTCGAAAGACAGATGGCGGCTGACCTTGGTGAATTCTGCCGCCTCGCCAGGGTTTCGCTCTCGACAATACGCACGGCGATAGAGTTCAAAATGCACTTGAGCAATGCCACCACACCATAGCTGTGCCCGCGGCCGCAAAAAAAAAACGACAAAAAAAACTGTCGAGAGTCGTCGACGTTCCATTCCCCTGCCTTCTCAACTCTCCGCTGCAGTCGACCCCGCCTGGTCGATAGAACGCCCCGGGTCACCCCAGCTCGGCATACACGCTTCATGCCCCACCACAAATTCTCCCCTTGCTGCTCATCCTTCCTACTCCTCGCACCAATGGCAACCCAACAACCTATCGCACAAGAGACACTCACGGAACGCAGTCACCCGCAGATCAGCGGCGGTATTGCTACCAAACAACAGTGTACCCCTCACCGATAACTAGCAATCCCTTGCACCTTTCTTCCATTGATAGACGCGATTCTGGGCGCATTGGTGCACAAAATCCCCAAAAATTACAGACTCCACCGTTCTAATGCATCTTGGGAGAACATCTTATCGTCCCCGGACGCCCGCGATGGCGGAATGAGGCTGTCTCGATCAACCGCCCGCCCGTCGGCGGAGTTCTCCCGCTGCGCCCTCTCTCCGCCGGTGCCCCCCCCCGTGACGTGGTCACCACCGGCCTCTAGCAACCGCATGGATTTTCCATTGCCCCAACTCTCTCTGCCGTTGGGTGTACCCTAAAGACACCGTGTCCGCAGTTTCCTCTATCTCTACACCCCGCCATCTACTCCTCCTCCTGAGCCTCCTGCGGAGGGTCGGTTGCATCACTAGCTGGCGGTGTCGACGGTGTCGACGGTGCCGGCGCCGTGAACTCCTCGAGGATTCCCGCGGCCGTCGAGTGCGCCTCTTTTCTGCCGAGGCGGTACCGCACTACGTCCGCCAACCGCGGGTCCACTTTCCCTCTGCCGTTGCCCATGCAATAGCTGCTCGTTTGACAAGTCGTACGATTCGATGCGTTGTTCCACATGGTATCAGAAACGCCCGCGAGGGAGGGACGGAGGGCGGCACGTTGGGAACTGAGGAAAGGAACACTCGAGCACCTCTTCGATAAGCGACGTTTCCCGGATGTTGCAGCGAAGCATGTGCGATTTGATGGGTGCTTGGATTGACTGCCGAGAGAACCTCGACATCTAACCTGCCTAACACAAACCAATCAACCCTTTCGCTCCTCCCACCCTCTCCATCCCGAAAGAGTGGTCCTTGAACTTGGAGCTTGCACAATACCTGAGCAGTTCTCTGTCCTGCTCTTCCGTAGACGGAAAGTTTTCGGACCGGTACGCTTGCAACTCCTCGAGGTAGAGCTCAGCGCCTTTGATCATCCCGTCCTCCCCGTCGCCCATGAGCTCTCCGATCTTGGTCGCGATCGGCGGAATAAGCGGGAGCACCTTTCGGACCTTCGAACCACGACGAGCGCACAAGGGCGAACGACGAGGGGCCGGTGGCGCAAGAGGCACAGCAGCGAGACGCCCAACAACGAAACAAGTCACAATCAGCGCCGACCAGAAAGGTGCACTTCCGGAAGGAGTTGCCTCAAAATCACGCTGTTCCCGCCGCAAAACATGAACCGGTGAGACACCAAAAGTACAACGCACAGCTCTTTCTCATTCTTGTTTGTTGACTGGAACTAAAAGCTCACACTTCCATTGGTACATTAGTACAGTTGCCGGTTAGAGCGGTCGACGACGCCAGCCGAAGAAAAACACACGCCCGCTACACACCAAAAGCACGACATACACCGGGCCAACAACAAACAAACTCACCCCTATCTCAAACCGTCGCTCGTCACCACCGGCCTCCCTCGCGAACCGCTGCTGCGCGCGCAGGAACAGCTCGTTCATTAGCCCTACCCTTTCCGCCTCAGACAACGCACCCCGCGACCCTCGTTCTTCCTCCTTTTCTTGGGCCGCCGCCGCAGGGAGACCCCCCGCATTCCCGCCTCCTACAACGCCTTCACCCGCAGCCGCCGTCGCCGTCGCCGCTCCCGCCGTCTGTTTCCCCTCCGCCATGGCTACCGCTGCGGTGTCTCGGACGAGAGCGTCCGAGCCACACAGTGGACGCTCGAGCGGCACGTTCGGGGGCGCGGGGAAGCCGTACTGCACCATCAGCTGCTCGGCATTCAGCTGTTCTCCGTACGAAATGGTAACCTGTTTCGTACAACAAACGCGAACGGGGGAGGGGTGCGGGTGAGCAAGAGCTCTCGGTCCGGCATGCCGCAGCCAGTCTTACTAGGTGGAGCGAGTACGCCAGGAGAGGTCGAATCAAACATCATGAAGCATCGCCCCATGGCCGTAACTTGATCAGGAACCTCTATCGGTGTTACTGGCTGCTCGGCTCACTTGTTCCTCTGCTTCCATCCGTGCACGTCAAACTGAGAGAGACAATCTGGTCAAGAATTGACGAGTAGAATGCCAAAAACGTCGTGTGGTCCTCGCGTCATTCCCGCACTCGCAAAAACACATGGAGCCACGACAGGGGGTGTGAATGAGAAGCGTGCCCCCAACTTGCGCTTGACATAGCTTCTCGAGAAATAAACTGCTGTTGTGCAAATTGTTTTCTCGGGTCGGTTTTCCTCTCTCACCTCTTCCCCGGCGCTGATATTGCGCATCGCTTGGAGCTGGAACACGCCCGGTTGTGATTCTCCTCCGCTAATGTACGTGAAGTTCGCGGCCGGGTCAGCGAAGCCGTGGTTGGCCATGTCCTGTCGTCGGTCGAAATTCAAAGGGTTGAAACGCCAGACAAGGTGTGCGTGCTGTTGATCAATCGAAAATCAATCTCCGCCACCACAATTCTCGGGTCGACCGATCAGTCGCAACCAAGGGGATTTCCACAGTAGAAGGCGTTGCACCGTCTTCTCGCCCTTCCTGCAAAATGTTTCAATAGGGGGTCCGCATTCTGTCATGTCCATCCGTAGTCAGCCGCTCTACGAGAGTCAAACCAACAACATACAGATCGCAAGGAAGCACGACGGCGGTAAAGCGGGCTGGACCAGCGTCTCCGACCATTCGCCACTCCCCCCCTCGCGTACGCCTCGCCCCCGTTTCAGACGCACCAGAAAGGGCACGAACGCGAAACGATCGCCGTTGGCCGCGAACGCCCTGCTCCGCACCATCGCGAACGCCCAAAGCAGAGCCATCGGCACCGCATCCGTCTCCTTTTCTGCCGCTTCTTTTGTGGCCGCTGTTGTTGCCGCTTCTCCTGCTGCTGCCGTCGCCTCGCCTTCGGCGGTCTTCCTAGCCGCGTACACGGCTGTCTTGGGGTGAGAGAGCAGCGTCTGCATCAGGTCCGGGTACAGGGAGCGCACCCGCTCGACCTGCTTCCGAGCCCGCTCGGCCATCCCGCTGTTGTGTAGCTGGCCCAAGAGGCGCTCCGGCAGGCAGAAGGGTACCTCAAGGGGTATGCCAGGAAAACGCCAAGAAGGGTGGGGAGAGGAGGGAATATGGGGGACGGGTGTGCGGTTCAAGATTAGAACCACCACAAGCTGGGACAAAATCGACAGGCAAACGGTCAAGGCGCGGGTTGCCATCGCGCGGAATGCGCATCATCATCGGTGTGTGAAGTGTGCCGCGCGTGAATCCTAAAAAAAAGCACTTGTAGATACTTTGACGCGCACCCTCAAGAGGAAAGATCGCGAAAACAGGTGAGTTGCGAGGCTTTTGACGCCAGAAAAATTGTCTCCTCTTCCGGCACCGTGGGCAGACCTACCTGGACGCCACAGCTCTAGACAAGCCGATTGCACCTGACGTTTTTTCGTGCTTCCTCGCGTGTTCAAAAAGACCGTACATGAGCCACCAAGGAGAAAACCAACAGCCTCAAGAATATCAATCGGGTAGCGTGTGCCACCTTTAGTTACGCAAGTCTGAAACTCGTCCAACAGCTTTTTGCCCCGGCAAGAGGTTTTCGTGTGCTTGTACGCGATTCGGGTGCCTCAGCTACCGGCCGCAAGCAGCACAGCAGCCGCGCACGCTACGAACCACAGTTGAAATACAGCTCGAGCCGCTACTTTCGCCGATTCCGGGCAGAGGGTGACAAAAACGCGCGAGTCACAACTATCATGTACCAGTTACATTGCTCTCACCGTCACCGTGTGTGGCAGAGGCAGCAAGCGGCCGTAGACATGCCAGAACTTTCCGCCGACCTGTGGGTCGGACGTCGCCTCAAGCAGGGCCAGCGCCAGTCGTACGTCCCAGGTCATGCCACGGGCAAAGTCTTCGTCAGAGACCGGGTCCCTTAGGTCCCCCGCGGCTTCCCAGCAGAGGTCGGTCTGACCATAGAGGCCCTGTCAATCATTCAGCAGGCGCACGCCAACTGGTCTTTGCCTTATTCTACAAGACGCAATCAAGAGTCTCCTTCGTTGCTGAGAGCCGCCACTCTGGACGCCCTGTTCTTGGTTCGGGAATGGGACATTCCGCAGGGTACTCTACTGTGAGGGTTTTACACGTGACACGTGGAAAGTTGCACCCGCAAACAGCAGTAGGAAAAAAACTGCAGAAAAACACCGTGGATGTACGAGGCTCGTACTCATGAAGGACGTTGAACTATACTGTACGACAGCAACCCGTTAGCGATTGCTGGTTGCACTCACACTGACTACGCCATCTCTGGTGGACCACAGGCAGATATCGGAAGGGACCTCCAGCACCACCTTTGACAAGGCGGGGGGAAGGGGGAAATCCTTCTCATTTCGGTGTTTTTTCAACGCATCCAGCAGTTGGCCCCATCACCCACCATGCGCCCAAACTTTGCAAACTTGCAATCCATAACATAGCATGAACTCGACCCGTCGGCACCTCCGACGGACATGAAAAGCACGTTGCATCTCATGAGAGCATCAGAGCAAGGGGCTCAAACAAGTTTTATACAAGGATCTCTAGCATGGCGTGTTGTCTCTCGGGCTACTCTTCCAAACGCGAAAAAGGGTTGATCTCCGGAGAACCATGATCGATCATGTGGCCACATGATCACTGCTGGCTGCTGGGCTTGCCTTCCCTTGAGCAATATCCCTGTCGGCAAGCAAACCGCGGTAACCGCCCGCCGTCAAACTGAGCGAGACAGCCTTGTCACGTATCCCGGCATTGGCGGCCAGCCACTCGAACATGTCGCTCTCCTGAGATACTGTTGAGCCCCCGTTTTCCTTCTTAGTCGCCTGCACCTCACCGGGCCCGCTGCTACCGCTGCCGTTGCTGCCGTAAACCGAACATGTAGCAGACCGACAACAGTCCCTCCATCTGAGCGCCAACCCGAGTTTTGGCTGAGCGACATAAGGGTGGCATGTTGGCAAGCTGGACAGCAGGCTGAGAAGCCATACTGTCGCCCGTACGGACCTCATGATGAGAGAGGTGGTGGCGAAGCGAGGTATGCGGTGGGTGCAACAAGGCAACAAGGCGACAAGAGCGCGACAAAGGCGAGGTACATGTAGTTCAGCGACGCGTTCCGTGGAGGCTTTGCGGCAACCCGGGGCTGAAAATGACAGTCCTTGGTGGCGGTCAGGTATCCACGTGCGTTGCATCATCGCTGCTTGCTGCCCACACGCGGCAAACCACCGCGCTGCCCATGCCCGTCCACGCGCAGACATTGGCATCGACAGCCGCTGTTGGTGGTGGTGGTTGTAGTGCCCGACTATTCGTTACCCCGAGAGTGCAACATGTATGTCATCAGCAGAGGTCGCCGAATCGCCCCGCGCCAAGCATGGTTTTGACATCGGACAGGAGCGACATTCCTCCCATGTCCTCGTGGAAGCTTCCATGGGAAGCGAGACGAGAGACGAGAGGGTTGCTGGCCGATGGAGGATATGACCCCGCAGCGATGGACAGCTACTTCGAGCTGCGTCCGGAACGGGCGTTGGTTCGCGTAGCACAGGTACGGACACCTCCAGTGCAGACCAGAAGATCGGAGTGGTGTTTATTTTATTTTATTTTTTTTCTTCACATGACACAACGAGTCCATCTCTATCACAGAAAAGAGTCAGAAACAGATTAACAATGGAATCATAGCGTCAGAGAAAACTACCTGTATGTCTACGATTTCCCAGACAGCATATAGGGACATCTTCCCTGCGGGTAACAGGCTCAACAAATCAGTTTGGTAGCTGCCTTGTGTGTCTCATATATGTTATGTTGGGAAGGTGCAGACAGATGATATTGGGTTGTTGTTGTTGTTGTTGTCTTCACATTAACAATCGTTCCGATCTCTCTCTACCCAGTACCTTTGTATGTCCGTACTGATACAACACTCGACGCGGTCGATTCCCGTGGTCGCAGGCTAACTTACCCTAAAAAAGTTCACTCAAATAAAATGGCCCCGAGGGCTCCGCAAGTCAATAGAAATCAACGACAGATATTCTGGAGTCCTCCACCCCCTCTGCGCGCTATGCGAGGTAACAACTGAGACTAGGGGTCACTATCACGGGCCGGAGAGAAAGAGGTACACCCCATTAGTTCAATCTTGGTACTTCACAACGCAAGCAGAGACAAGGCCATCTGGTACAAAAAAAGAGAAAAAAATAAAAGGAAACAGTACTAGAAGGAAAGAGAAAATGAAATAAAAAGAGCGAGGACAAAAAGGGACCAGGCCGAAAATAACAAGAAATAAGAGACAGAAAAAGGCACAGGGTGGAGAGACCACTAACGACAAGCAAACACGCAAACATGGCCACCAACCAGCGATACATTGTAATGGTACGTCATCACTAGTGGGGGGTTGGTGCATTGGTGCAGCGTTGGGG